CCCTTGACAGAAATAAAGGAAAAACCAGGGCTGAATCTCTTTGATATTTGGGAAGGCAAGTTCATAGGCAGCCAGATCCCAGGCTTCTTTGGGGGGTGAGAGGAGTCTGGATGGAAAGAAAGCAGCACCTTATGAGAGGGGATATGGCAGGAGGGTCCTCAGGCTTTGTATTGGGCTGCAGAGTCCTGATGCTAAGATAAAAAGAACTCTTTCTCTTGAGCATTTTTTTTTTCTTCTTTTGGTACTGGGGATTGAACTTGGGGGTGCTTAACCACTGAGCTACATCCTCAGCCCTTTTTATCTTTTATTTTAAGACAGGGTCTCACTAAGTTGTTTAGGGCCTCGATAAGTTGCTGAGACTGGCCTTGAACTCAAGATTTTCCTGCTTCAGCCTCCGGAGTTGCTGAGATTACAGGTATGCACCACCATGCCTGGCCTTGCTTGAGCATTTATAGAAGCAGCTTTTTTCAGCCTGATCAGCACCCTGATACCTAAAAAATAGATTTCTTCTGTCTGCTTGGATTGCTTTAGGGGTGTGAGACACAGAGAGTTCAAGCATCTTTCCTGAAGACGATCAGCAAAGTAAGTTGAAGGGTGGAGGAGTGTAGTCTGGTGGAATTGGGTTGCTTTGTGTTGTTGACTGCTAATTGCCCAATGGCTGAGGTGGGAAGGCACACATATTCTCAGACCTGTGTGTTCATTGCATGCCTTGTATCCAGATGGACACAGTATCTGCGAGATACTGGAGGATGTTTGAAGAAGATGCTGGGACACTGGGACCACAGTAGTGGCCACCAGGCAGAACATCGCTGCTTGCCTCTGATGTCTGCTTCCTAAAACCTGGAATCATCCATAAGGGACTTCAGAGGGAAATGGGGTGGCCTGTGACTGACATGAGTAAAAAAATCCGAAGCGGATACAATTACCTCTGCTGGGCTCCCTGTTACCCCCAAACAGCCTAAAAACAAGCCCTCATCTGCTCAGTGCTTTCCAGTTTACCAAGTGTTTTCACAACACTGTCTCATTTTATCCCCACATCAACCCACACACATTCTTGCCTTTCAGATTTCTTATGTACTCAAATGAGTTTCACCAAAAATTGGCTAGAAACTCCCCTCTCCTACTCACTTTTATTTTTTAAACCTCAAACCTTTGACTGATATCTTTAAGAAGCTCCCAGATTCCCAGAGTGGGAAACTAATTTATTCTGCCTTCCCTGCCCTACGGGATGGATACCAGGAGTCCTGGTCTTTGCTCTTGGAACCAACAGTTTTGTGTAAAATTCGTAGTTTAGCTATTAAAACAAACAAAACCACAGAGGCCACAATAAGTGTTGTTTTGTGAAAAAAAAAAAAAAAAACAACAACAAAAAAAAAAAACATAGCCTTTGTAACCAGGAAGCTGCAGAGTCAAAATTTGGTTCAGCCATTTGAGTGCCAGGTGCCATAACCAATTACTCATTTTCTAGAGCCTTGACTTCTTCATCTGTGAAGTGGAGCAGTAGTGACGGTGTCCAAGTTGTAGGGAGGCATAAATGTAACAGATCTGGGTGCACTGCAGCAAATGTCACCCCTTCCTTCCCTATTTTCCTAAGGTCAAAAGCTACTTCGTGAAGTCCTTTATAACCTACCCAAAGTACTAACCAAAGTACCAGCTTCACTGCTACTAGAAAAATTTAATACAATACTGTCTTTGCAAGTCAGAGAGAGATACCATGTGAGAATATGTTGCTAAATGAATTTAGATAGTGATCTCTCTTTTTTTAACTAGATGAAAAATAGCTACATGCCTTGCATACCGGCACAGTTATAACTAAGATAACTCTAATAAGATCTTAAGTTCATTAGCTTTAGTCTTCTTTTAAAAAGTATTCATTTCGGCAAGGTAGAGAAGGAGCTCAACAACTGGACTTGTGTAATATTGGAAAGCACTGATTATGCCTGGATTATTATTGAAAGTGAATTGCAAATCAATCCTTCCATCCCTCGGGACAAATGTGGGAGAAGGGGGGGAGTCAGAGAACTCTGACTGGGTGTTGAGTTCACTGATATGCATATAGTAGATGATGTTCAATAAATGTGGGTGACGGATGGAGGTGGTGTTTGACCTTTGCTGCTGACTCCTTGGCAAACACAGTGCACAGCGAAGTGTTAAGAGTGGAAACAACATTTGACCAGCGGTTCGAAGGCCCAGGTTCCACCTATACCACTTAATAGTCTGGTGACCTTGGACATGCCATTTAATCTCTTAAGTGTCTTCTCACCTGTAAAATGAGGAGACTGGACGAGGTGATTTGGAAGGTCTCTTTCAGCTCTAAGGTTCTGGAACTCTAAGCAACTTCATTTGATTGAGTTTCTATTCCTTCATTTATTCAAAGGCAGCAGGGATAGAAACCTATCTCCTAGGGCACTGGAAAGAAAGGTCATTGTGCCTGTTAAAATGCTCTGTATCTTCAGAGAAATGAAGGAAATTCAATGATGGAGAGCATGTAACAGAGTGGAAACCTGGGTGTGTCTGCAACCCCTGAGGGCCAGAGCCAGACCAACCCTTTCTAACTGTATGATCTTTAGCAAGTGTCCTAATTTATTTCAGCCTCAGTTTGCACATATGGGGACTCTGAAGTTGTGCAGTCATAATCTTGTCACATTCTTACATTCTTTGAAAGCCAAAGTGTTGAAAATGCTTTGCAAAACTGAAAAGCGCTATACAAAGTATGGTTGAGAAATGGCTGCTTGTTAGTTGTATCAAGTTCAGCACCATGTCTCCATATTTTCATTTAGGGGACACAACCAAAGGCTTATTTTCCACTCTAATTTACTGACCGGTGAAATTTAGGTAAAGTGAGCAAACTTTTCTAAAGTATAGGCATCAGATAATTGCCTCAATGACCTCTAATGTAAGGAATTCTCCCAAAGGCCAGATCACTTCTGGTGAAGGCCTTCCTTCCTACCCTCTTCTCCAAAAGGAGCCCATTTCAACTTAAGATACGAGTGGGGGTGTGGGGGGTGTAAATGAGGAGGGTTTTTCTAAGTTTTGAAAATTTTATGATATTATTCATAAATATGAAAGTGTATCTATTATATGTAAAATTGATGTGACAACCTTTCATCACAGGCCTTGCCAGGGAATGCTCCTGGGGAGATATGGCAGAAGGCTTCCATCCTGCTCACCCCAGGGCCTGGTTCGGGCATCCTCCTGGGAGGGCCTTGGAAAGTCCCAGTAGGAAACCAGATCTTCAAGCACTGGCTTCCCTTTTGACACCCCAGATGACAACATGTCATACCCAGTCAGTGACATTGAGGAGCTTCCCCACCCTTTACAAAAGGCATAAAAAGCCCTTCTCTTTGCAGTAACCCCACACCTGGAACATCTCCATTACCGTCTGACCATAAAGAGTGGCCCTCCATCAGGACACCAACCCCAACCCTGCTGCACACAGGTGGTGCCTTGCAGGACAAACCAGCTCTTGCTCTCGTTTGGGGGATAGGGACAAGATCCTAAATTTTCTGGTTGAAGCCATATTTTATCAAGAAGCACACTTTTTATTCCAGGTGAATATATGAATGACTGATAATAGCACCGTTATTTTAAAATTACTCTTAATGATTATTTTTATTGAAATTGAGTTTGGGGAAAACTGATGAAAATTATGAGGGCCCCCTCTTTCAGATTCCTCAAGCCCTGACACTGTTAAACCCTTACCATTAATCCCATCATCCTTTTTACCTGATGACTCCCTCGTCCCACTTTTAAGAACGTGTGTGTATGGATTCAATACATTCACTGCCTTTTCTTCAAAGAGCTGACTTATACTTCCAAGATAATTATTTTTGCTCAGTTTTTTGAGAGCCACCCCCCCACCCTTTCCCAGCCCTGTGTACACATAGCTCAAGTTATTTTATAGGTAAAATACGTAAAGCTATTTTGTAGGAGTAATTGACGTAGAGGTCACAGAATGGCAGTCAGACTCCCGTGCAGTGGCTGTGGGGGCTAAGCAGCGCGAAGGCCTGGACAGACCCGGAGCTGCAATTCCTGGGCAGTGTGGGAAGCGTTGCTCTGAAGCTCTTTGTTTACGCTGTTATACAGCGACTCCTTGGAGCAGATACGGGATCCAAGACTAGTGGTGCGCGCTCGAGCACCGCCCACTCGCACCTCCAACCCGCACCAGGGACCGTGTGTGTGATGTGTGTGTGTGTGTGTGTGTGTGTGTGTGTCCGCGCGCTCGTGTCCAGTGAAATAACCCAAGAATGACACCACATCCTTTCTCCCACAAACAAAACCCTCCATGGATCCCAAGGCTGCGGACCAGTTCCTCGCAAATCTTGCGACCCCGCAGGCACTGGGTCCCCGACTCCCTGTCTCTTCTGCCTACCCACAGCGTTTATTGGTGATGCTCTCCTTTCCACGCTGCTAGTCCAGGATGGAAGGGTCGCAAGTCTGGCGCCGCGATCGCGGTGCGGCAGGGGACGATTCCAAAGGGAGGCCTACTTTGGGAGAGGACCGCTGAAGAGGGGTCCTGAGTGTGGGCTGGGGACGGTGAGTGGGTGCCAGGGAGGGCGCGGGGCCAAGCGGCCGGCCGGGGTGGAGGAATTGCGCCCTCCTTCGGTGCAACCTGGGCAGTCACGTCCCGAACCCTCCGCACGCTCAACCGTGCTGCCTTGGAGTTCCCGGGTGTGCGCAGGAAGGGGGCTGCGGATGCCTACGGGTTTGTGAGCAGGAAGCGACGTTGACATTGAACTCCAGCCGGGTGCGTGCGTGTGTGCGTGTGTGTGAGTCGTGGGCAGGGGGCAGTGCTCCGAGCTGCAGCAAACCACGGCCCTCGGGGAACAGAGCTCAGCGCGCCCCCGAGTCGCCGCCCGCGGGAGCTGCGAGCGCTGAAGCCATTCATGATTTTGGTGACGTTATTCCAGGAGTGGGCGAGGAAGGGCGGGGCCTCTCGGGGCCAAACCCCGCCCCCTCCCCTATAAATACAGCTTCCCCGGCTCTTTGTGGGAGCCGGAGCTCGGTGAAGAGCAGGGCGCTCGGTCTGCACCGCCGACGCCGCTGGCAGCCGGGCTGTCTGGGAAAGGCGGACCGGCGAATGCCCAGTGCTCGCGCTCGGCCTCTGCCGCGCCCGTTTGCGCCCGTGTCAACCTCACTCGGGACGCAGTGACCGTTTTTAAATCACAAGGGCGTGGGTCAGCTTTCCCTAGGACTTCATGTCTGTATATTTCCCCATTCACTGGTGAGTATCCTGCGCCTGCGGCGGGCGCCGGTCTAACGACCGAGGCTTCGGGGCCCGGACACCCGCTCGTGCGGGCTCCGATGACACTAGCGCCTAGCGCTAACCCGCCGCCGGGAGCCCCTGAAGGAGTCAGCGTCAAGGTTGCAAAGGTGGGGGTGGGGGGAGGTGGTGCTGAGAGCATCCAGACAAAGGAAGTGAACTCGGAACCTTCACTTAAGTGACGGCTGGAGGGTGTGTGTGGTGGTGGTGGTGGGTGGGGAGAGCCTGGGGTCCCAACGAAACCCGGGTAATGAAACCCCTTATGCGGAGTCTGCAGGAGCGCGCGCCCAGCCTGGCGCAGGGGGCTCTTCTCTCCCAGAGCCCCTCCCCTTTTTCTTTTTTGTTTGCATGCAAGTCTCGGCGTCGAGGCCGGCTGCAGCGCGGCTGAGCTGGTGCAGCCGTGGCGTTTGCAGAGCTCCGGGGAAGGGAGGGGGGCGCGCTCCCCACACGTAAGCCACAAGCAGCAGGGCACACGCTGCACCCTCCTCGACCCCTGCCCTCTGCATAGTCCCTAAGATCCCATTCGCCTTTAAGTGAGAAGTCTCTCTCGCGGTGCAGAAATTGAAGGAGCCGGGGCGGGGGCTGGGGGGGGGGGCAGAGATTTGCCCCTGGCCGGCGATGGGGGATAGGAAGGATGCAGAGAGGCCCCTGGTTGCTGGGACGTGCGCGCCGGCTGCTTCTTCCTTCCTGAGCTAAGCAAAGTGGAGGAGTGGCCGAGGTGGAGGAGGGGGGACGAGTGCGGGTGGCCCCGGAACACGCTTTCAGGTGCGGGCGTGCGAAGCCCGGCCGGGGTTAGGGACAGGCTCCCTCCCAGCCAGGGGAAAGCGGGTTCCAGCCTCGGCGCAGCCCTATCCCAAGCGCAGCCGAGCCCAGGAACCGGAAAGTTCATACTTCTCACTTCAACTTTTTGGGCCCGCGCCACAGCCCCGAGCGAGGACAGCGCCTCATATCAGGTGAAGAACCGAGCGTTAGCCCTGTGGGTGCTTCCCTGGTACTTTTTTTTTTCTTTTGAGGGTCAGCGGCAGCCTTTCCAGGACCAGGGAGGGACTTGCCTCTTGGAGGGAGGTTCCAGCCTTTCAATCTAAATCCAGCATCTTCTCTTAGTCTCCCCTCCCCCATCACAACCCGCCTCTGTTTAGAGAGGGGACTGAACTCTCAGAACAAAGTAAAAATCCCCCCACCCCCGAGGCTTGTACACCCCTCTCTTCCGGAAGCCCTGCCCCTCTATCCCCTAATAGTGTGCAGGTATCCAGGTGCCTTATAGGTGAGACTTTGAAGGTTGGTGGAGGCTTTGTGCCTCTGGTCAAAATTTTGCAAGGTGAGTGTTAAGGCCCCTCAGGGATATTAGCTCCTGAAAAATTAAAGTTCAGGGTTATTTTATTGATCAGGTCTTCACAGTCTGCAACAGTTTTACCCAGACCTTAGCCCTTAACATAACATCTTAGTAACAAACAGGGCACCTGTGGCTCAGAGGTTATACACTTGTTCAGGATCATGCACTCTTAAGCAGCAGAGCCTAGACAAGAACCTATTGCTTCTGCTTCCAAAACCATTTCTACTCTGTGTAGTAACTAAAAAATGAAGAGGAGTCTGGTATCACTGCTTCCTTAGATATAGTCTCTAAAGCATGCCTCACTTTTTTTTCTTTTTTTTAAACCATGTGCACAGACATAATGGTGAAAATGCTGGGTATTGTGTAGCGGGTACCTGGATTTGGTATGTGGGTTTGGCATTATGCATACAGGACCCTGTGTGTGCCCATGGCTTGTGCAAGGATAATGGAACATTTGTATCCTGCTTAGAGAGTACAAAGCACTTTCACATGTCTGCAATTGGTGGGCCAGCTTGGCCCCTCTGGAAATTTCCTTTGCAATCAGAGTCCCAGTATCCTTAAGGCTTTTTAATCCAGGGGATGTTTTTCAAGCTGCGAGCTTGCAGCTGCTGCCGCTGGGGCTAAAGAAGGGGGTTGGATGGCAGATGTGAAGCTTGCAGAAAAGCTGACCCCTTGGGGCTTTAAGTGGGACATTTTGCCAAAAGGAGCACTAGACAGACAGAGACATTTAGGAAGGCAGCAGGATTGGACTTTGTCTCCCTGAGGCTGGCCTATTATTGTTATTATGTAATAATAACATGCAGTTCCCCTTTGGAAATTCACACAAGGATTACTTTTGTTTTTAAGTGGAGGGGTGGAGGGAAGACCTGGCTGAATTGGTTTTAATATAGATACATGGACTCAGCCACCTACTGTTGTGGTTTATTCTAGTTCTGTCTTTAAAGAAAAATTCAGGGTTGCCCTGTCTTAGATGGGACTATAATATTCAGGAGAGTCAGAAGAAGAAGGTTTGCAGATGGAACTTTGTCACTGGACTGGACAAGGGCCCTGGTGCTATGGGTTTGGAAGGTTTGGAAGCGTGTGAGCTTGTTTTGGTGCAAGCATTGTTTTGAGCACCTCTTATCCTGCCTCCAGAGATTCCCCTGGTCTCACAGCAAGTGAAGGCTCAGAGGAGGAAAATGCATGCATTTGTTGACTGTTGGTCTGGATTTCTTGGCAGCCCTGACTATCTGAGATCGGCCGAGATGACTGAGGTAATGATGAACACCCCATCCATGGAGGAGATTGGCCTCAACCCCCGGAAGGATGGCCTTTCCTATCAGGTGAGTTAAGTACTCTTGCTTAGCGTATGGTGGCTTTTGCTGGGGCTGAAAGTGTTACAGAGCTGGGGACTTTAGAAAAACTAAGACAGCGTGAAGATCCTCTCTTCAAACCCTGACTCATGTGATCAAATCAGAAAGATTTTAGACATGTTGCTCAGAGTAATAGGAATGAGTTTACTGAAGGAATAGGAAAGGGGTTAGGGACATTCTCAAGGGAGAGAGTGGGTCCTCTCAGAGAGGAGAAAGACAGTGTGCCTGTCCTGCACTCCAGTTTTATTGGGGATCCCAGAGAAGTTTCCAGAGAGTCCCACCCAGGTTCACCTCTTGACTTTTGACTGACAGCAGGATGACATCAGACTTTCAAGATCCCACTGTCATGGCAACTCTAGGTCACCTTGGCCCATGCTGGCAGGTTCTAATTGGATTCTTAACCATGCATTCTTACAGATTTTATGGTTAGGAGGAATGACCCTTATCTCCCAGAGTTTCAGGATCTGGTCACAAAAATATCCCGAGTTCCTCTTGTCAACATTATCTTGGGCCTGCGTTTCTCTTGCAATTAACAGGTAGTTTGCTGAGGAATGTAACATATCCTGTCCACTAAGGGCTGCAGTAAATTGCCTATTGGAAAGGAAAGCATGTGGGGTTCAGTACAGTGGGCCCGTTTGAAGGGGCCCTTAACCTTGGATTCCCACCATCCTCATATGTCTGTTTCCTAACAGAAGCACACTTGGTTTTGTGTCCCAAAGCCACCTGTAAGAGCTGTGTGACCTTAAGGCCAGTCCCCAAATGCCAGGAAACCTTAATTTCTTCATCTGTAAAGTGGGGTATCAATAGACTTCACCTCATAAGATTGTGATGATAAGTCAGCAGGTGAGAGGATGGGTTTAAGGCATTCATAGTGCCTGGGACACAAAGTGTCCAGCAGACATTAGCCGCTGTGGCTGCCAACCAGCTTAGAGATCATCCTGTCTGGTGGATCCAAAATGCATAAAGACCATGAAAAGGAACAAAGTGACACTTTCACTCTCTTACCCCCAGGGGTCTTAACAGGCTGGTGACAGAGCACTTGTTACCCCTGGGGCAAATTGCTTTTGGATAGTCTAGGAGAGTTCCTAGGTTGCTAAATTTGGGGGAAGGAGGAGTTCTGTTTGTAAGGGAAGACTGTGAGGCTAGGGGAGTTTATAGAGCTGCTGGTCCAGGGAAGACAGATGGGGTGAGAGGGGCCATGCTGCAGGAATGAACCACATGCCTGCTGTGGACCAAGCATTGTACACACATTGCTTGCTGTGCCACAGCTCAGAGGTGGGAGTTCTCACCCTGCTCCACAGAGGACACAGCCCCCAGCTGAGTTGGAGACGTGGCTCTCTCCAGCCCCAAGCCTCGCTCTTCTGATTCATGGCATGCCTCCACCTTGGGCTGGTTCTGGCTAGAGTCTAGACTCACTCTGGCTGGTCATCCTTAGAGCTGTTCCAGGGGCATTTATTTTGTAAAGAAAGAAACAAATAGAAAACCAGAGTAGGTGCAGACTGATGAGGGGAGAGTGATCAAAGGGCCAGGATGAAAGCTGAGGTTGGGAACACAGCTTGGACTCCCTTGGGAGGCTCAAGGAGGCCCCTTTGTTTTGTATCAATAGAGTCAGGCCCCTCCTGCGGGCTGTTAATGAGAATTCCTTTAGCCTGAAGGGCTGAAAAGGCTCTTTCCCCAGAGTGGGTCTGAGGAAAGCTGTTGAGAGCCCCAGGGTCTGGTGGGAGGTGGAGAAGTTCCTGGCCTACCAACTAGGCTGTTTTTGGATATCAGTTTCCAAGCCTGTGAGTCAGACTGAATCTTTTTGTGGCTACAGGTGAGATTTTCTTTCATTTCAGGGTTTTAGATTTCCATCACAGAACCTTTCCAAACACAGTCATTGACTTCTTGCATGTGTTTTTTTACACTCTCCTTTAAACAAGTCCCAGGATAAAGGGCCAGGCACTGCAGGACAATTTTCTCAGCCCTTCAAGTGCTCCAGGCCCTTCTGCAGCATCTGAGGGTTGGTGCAGGTGATGATGGAGGAAGGGGCTGCCATGCTGGGTGAGGAAGACTTACTTGGGGCTGCAATACTGAAGGAAATAAAGTCACCTCTGGGCTCCTGTGATATCACAATAATAAGAAAAAATTACTCTAGTCTTCCCTTATGGTGCTGGACCAAGAGCCCAGTTCTCACAGCCCCCAGGAAATCTGTCTCTGCCCCTTGGGTGAGGACTATTGCCCAGTGCCAAAAGATCCTGCCTGGAACTTCAAAGCACTCTGTCAACAAAATGATTTCAGAAAGGGCTCTTGGTTGTGTAATGAAGAGAAAGGGGAGAAATTATACTGTTTGACCAAGTACACAGGCAATCTGGTCATTCTAGATATGGGCCACCATACAGAAGCTATGGTCAATCCAGGTATGGGCAGCAATGATCAAATCTGAGTTATAGAATCTAAGAAGGTCTGGAAGAGGGAAGTCAGAATAGGGCTGGGATTTGAAATAAAATGAAGGCTTTCAGGAGGCCACACCATGTATCATATAATTGTTATAGCAGCAGACACCCTTTGGCTCACCCCCGTATATGCCAAGTGAGAGACTCTGTAGTGAGCTGGTCTAACGATTCTCACGTGACAGATTTCTCTGGACCCACTCAAATTAGTGCTATCCAATTAAAAGCTTTCCCACCAGAGCTCTGGGGATTGGCTGGGCTGGTTCTTGGCCGGAGCTGGTCTCTCTGCATGCTTGGGCTTGGCTCAGATCTGGGGGTGGGAATCTCAGAACTCTGCACTTGGCTTTCCTCCTGAGGATAATAATAGTATGTGGCTTTTATTAAGACCTGCTTTTCCAAGGAACTGAGAGTGGGAAAGAGACATCAATCCCAACTTGGCAGATGAAATAGAATCTCAGGCTTGTGGTTTGACCTTGAAACAAGGTCATCAAATAAATGGCCCATTGGACTTTGTCAGTCATTCCCCCACCTTTCAAACCTATTGAGAATGAAGCTTTCCTGATTTCTCTGTACTGGATATGACCTTTCTTTCAGTGCTTGTGGCATTTTGTACTTTGCCAGGATGTTGTGCTGGGCTTTGAGGATATGCGTCCTACCTTACCTTCTCCTTGCCTGGGTCCTCAAGGGCAGGGGATGACTTACTATCACCTTTGTACCCTGCCCCCACCCAGGGTACCTACTGGCTCAGTGCCTTCACAGAGCAGGTGCTAAGTGGATGGTGGGCAAGTCTCTTGATTCAGAAACTGGCCACTTTCATCTCTTTCCTAGATCTGCTCAGGCCCATGCCTATAAGGGTTCCAAGTGAATGCCCTTTTATCCTAAAAGATACAGTTTAGCCCCATCTTTTGTCTTTTGATAGTACTGTATTGCGAGCCAGTACCATTTGGATATCACATCAGATAAGTGATATCCATGTCTGCACATTTATTTGGCATGAATTATGTCATCCCACAGGTTGGGTGAGTAAATAGTTATTAGAAAGTCTGAGTACCTTTTGAGCAGGCTGTTGGTGGCAGCCGATTCTCAGAGCTGAGTGGGAGGTCTCCATGAGGACATTTATGACCCTGAAGGCTTTAGCTTCCTGCCTACACTGTAGGCCCCGAGTCACCAACCTGTGGGACAGGAATGTCTGCTGGCCATCAAAACAAGTCAGTGGCTGCCTGAGAAGCCTGCTCCTTCCATGGCTCCAGGACTCCAGGCATGTGGTGCTCGGGGATCTCTGACTGGGTCTCCTTTTATGCTAGGCTTGCATTGGTCTGGGCTCTGTACAGGGAAGCATCCTAGGGGAGCTTCTGGGCTCTTTTGTTGCTAAAACCCAAGAGGCACTGGGATTCTGATCTTGTTGCCTGCCCCCCCCCCCCCCCCGCCCCCGCCCAGTGCATGTAGGCCTCCACAGTTTTACCCACATCAAGGTCAAGACATAACTATGGCTTCTTGGTTTTAAACTGTCCTTTCTAAAGCATCCCAAATAAGATCTGATATCAGTATCCTTCCTGGGGACTCTTTCTGGGGATCCCTTTCTAAGCAGAGCACACTCCTGACTGGTTGCCTTGGTATTCCACCTGCCATTGCTCTTGATCATGTACTTCTGCTACTTGATATCATCTACCAGGCAGGCAGGCAGCAGACTTTTCTTCTCAGGGAGTCAAGGGACGCCACTCTCAAACCCGAAGGAGCAACTTCTTCACAGAATGCACTGCTCCGGTTCCCTGTGTGTTCCTTTTGATCTACTGAGCAGAGAGCTTCTCCATCTTCCCCTTCATCTCCCAGGGCAGGAGGGAGTAATCCAGGGGAGGAGGAGGGATAGAAGTGCCCCAGATGGTTTTGCCTTTGCCTGTTATTTGCTTCTTGACATCTCAGTGCCTCAGTCTCACTCTGTCCTGGGGAGGACTCATAGGGGCTGGGAATCGGCTCCCAGGGAATTGGGCCCTGGACAGGGTCTTCTGGCCCCTTCTGTCTCAGAGGCTCATCCACAGCCAGCTGCTCTCTCTTCAGAGCCCCTTGTTCTTTACCAGGAACAGTGATTTCTCTCTGGTCCAGGAGAGCACTGAACAGCAGCATTTCAGAACTGTCCTCATGCACCCTACACGGAGCCACCTTCATGAATGTCCTGAGCCTGGCTCACTGTGCTGCTCCCATCAGGGTGGGATGCATGTGTCTACATAAGGGCTGGGCATAGCTTCCCTGTTCCTGGGTTAGGGCCTCAGGAAGGTTGCTGCTGAGCAACATACTACTGTCCCCCTCAAGCCCCTGCATGTAGGTCACTCTGGGAATAACTTATCAGCTCTGTTTGTGTCCTCCTCCCGAGTCCTCTTGTCTCATTGGTTACCCCTGCATGTCCCCCAGAGCTTGAGAGGCCCCACTGAGCAACTGCACACAAGTCCCATGGTCACCAGGAAACCATCTTTCACAACATCAGACTTTAAAAAGGCACAGGAGTCCCTGGAGAGACATAAAGCTAAAATTCCAAAACACTTGGCA